TCTATGCATGTGATATGATTTGAGAGTCCTGGGCTATGATTTTGATCTTTTGAGGACCATAATACTTAGAATTTAAAAATTGCTTGACTTGAGAGGCCAATACTGCTTGTATGCTTTGTGGATGCCATTTAGGAGTAAATTTTTCGAAAGATTGATATCTTGCTTGCATTTGTGGTCCACATCATCTTGATACTGTGATTGTTTTGAAATTCACTCTAGGATTCTACGCTAGCACAGGTGCACACTAGCATTTATTTGTGGGGTACATGCTTTGTTGATTATTGATTTGGTTATATCTCAATTGAGCTAGTAGTGCATTGAAAGCTTTCATCTTGACAAAAGTGGATAACAATCCCTTTTCATTGAGTAGCCGGGATTCTAGCCTCATCAAGTACTGAATTTCTGGCGGCGAAAGGTTGAGGGCCCAAACTCTAGGTTAAAAAAAAAAAAAAGAAAAAAAGAACAAAAGTGAGGACTTCTCCCAAAAGGTGAGAAGTGGGAAATGATTAGATGGAGGTAGTTTTGATTTGTAGCCTATTTGATTTGAGCTTGTAAGTCTTTAGCAGTGTTTAAACACTTAATGCCCTAAAACCGTTCAGTTTGAGAGTCATTGAACTAACGCTCGACCTCATGGATCGCTAGAAAGCTTAATAAACCACTACATTGCATCATGCTTCCATCTTTGTTCCTCTGGGTTAATAAAAAATAAAAATAAAAATTGAGTGAAAAGAATAAGTGCACCTAGTTGAATAAAGCTTTAATAAAAGGTTCATTATTTGTTTTGATGATCGGTACTAGATTTGTGTGCTAGTTTGAGGCCGGATGTGATCATTTCTTTAGTTGGCTTAGATAGCAACATATTTGATGCCAGTTCACTTAAAAATGATTCTAGAGTTATTTTGATTTGCATGATCATTGTCTTGATGTGTGGAGGACCATATTTGCTTACTTGGTGTTGGGGTAACCTAGGGGTTCAAAAGGCTTGTTGCATATGCTAAATGTAATCGTGTTCCCTACGAAAGTGGCGTTATCTTTTTATTGCTTTCTAGATTCATAGTTATATAGTTGTTTATTTCCTTCTTTTCTTTGTAGTTCATTGCTAGGGACTAGTAATATCTAAGTTTGGGGGTGTAATAAGTGCTCGAATGTGACACATTTTAGCACCTAAGTTAGGGTATTTTAGTCCATTCATCTATCTTACTTTCATATCTTAGTACTTATTTGTGTTTTTGCCTATTTCAGGTCAATAAAGTTCAAACAGGTTAACAAGAGCCATTTAGCTTGATTTTTTGAGCTAAGAAGCAAAGTTGGAAAAAGAAGCCATGAAAATTGCACTAGAGGAACTTCGATCGATCGAAGGGAAGCCCGATCGATCGAAGTCGGTTACAATCGATCAAAATGAGGCGGTGCCAGCTCAGCAAAGTGGATAAGGTCAAGAAGATATTTTGATGTCACGTCACCTTCAATCGATCGAAGATAAGTGTTTGATCGATCGATCAAACTGCCTAGTGTGCTGTCTAATTCTAGAGCGCGTCGACTGATCGGTTGGTCAATTAAACATCAACCTTCGCAATAGCACGAATCATTGTAAAATAGAGCTATTGGTCGGATAAGTCGAACCACTGGGACTGCGCTAGTTTAAGGCAACCTAAGCGTCTAGAATCGTTTTAGAATGATAAGGGGGAATAGGGTGTTTGCTTGGTTTGTCACTAAAGCTATGAAATTAAGATGTATAAAATAGTAGATTGCAAGGAATGTAAAGAGGTGAAATGCAAGTAGAGAAGACTAGGGAGATGAATCCGTCTCCATCCCTATACACATGCTAGATTAGAACTAATTAAGGGGAAAAATAACATATAATGGTCAAGAATTACATAACAACACATGGTTGCCATGTAATTGATCAAGAAGTACATTAAGTCTCAAACAAGTATAATCTATGAAAAGGGTAAACATGCTTAGACTACCTAACTAAGGTGTAGCTTATACACATTTACTTAAATGAAAGACTATCAAGTTCTTGACTAAATGATGAAGCACATGGAGCTAGAGATTAAGCATACACCATCAAAGGATTTCCTAAGCAATGGTCTATCAAAGTCACCTATCAACATGCCATGAAACCATTTCATAACCTTGTTCCCATTCTCACCATGAAAACTCAAGCAATAAGATTCATACAAGACATCACCTAACAATCAAGATAATGAACTTGAAGAAATCAACCATACATATATAAACATTCATTACAACAAATGAAAGGCTCTTAGTTATGAAAAAGACCATAGAAATATACATTGCAATCCCCCAAAATAGACTACCCTAGGACATGCTTACAAGGGAGGGACTTCATCACCTCCCTAGAGGAAGAGTTAGTTACTCATTGGAGCCTTAGAATGAAGAAGAAGCTTGAACTCCATCTCCAATTTTCGAGCTCCCTCCTTTAAGCTTCAAGAACACCTTCCTTTCTTGCTCTCTTCTCTCCCCTCTAATCTTGTAGAATTCAAGGATAGGATGCATGTGGCCCTTAGTTGCCTTATATCTATCAACTAAGCTCTCTCTCTCCTCCAAAGACATTCCCAACCACTCCATAAAGAAGGAGGGTGGAAATGTGGAAACCAATGCACAAGTGGGCTGAAGAGGGGTTCATTTCCGAGCTGCAATCTGGCTGATTTTCGAGCACTCGAAGAGTGGTCTCGAGCACTCTAAATTAGTGCAATGTGCAACATGCTCTTCTTGCTCAGCACTGACCTACTTTGGTAAAACTGCTATAACTTTGTGCCCCAAACTCTGAATGATGATCTGTTTGAAGATTTGGAGAGCTGATTCAGTGCTTCAAAACTTCATGTTTTGATGAAGACCCAATTCTCAAGTCTGGTTGGTCGAAAATGGGGAGAAAGGCAGTACTTCAGTGCTGCCAGGCAGTTCTGCGCACCTCTGTTAAGAAGATCATAACTCTCTGTTCCGAACTCCGAATGACGAACCGCTTGAAGATTTGGAAAGCTGATTCAGAGCTCTAAATCTTTCATGTTATGATGGGAGTCCAGTTCTTGATTTTTCTAGGTCGAAAATGGCGACAAAAGTCAGGTTCTACCGCTGCCAGAAATTCAGAATTGGCACCCTTTTTGTTCATAATTCCACAAGGCATCATTTTTGCTTCTTTTTTGCACTTTAACCTGAAAATGCACAAAAAACATGCATATGGAGTTAATCTACATAAAATAATCAATTAATGGACTTTGTTAATGTAATTTAGGGCGCCTGAATATACAGTATTCAGCGCTTATCATCGACCTCTACCTAACTTGAGTAACTGCGAATTTCCTCCAATCATAGGCTGTATTTCTGACTTGGTGCCTACTCAAAGAGGCTTGTAATGAATTAATTGAACAATTATCTTGTATCATTTATAGGAGTAGATATTTTTCTCTCTAGAACTAGGGTTTTAGGAAGAAAAACAAGGATGAAGATGATGATGCCAACCTCCAAGCTAACCCTTGAGGGTTCCATGACCACTACAATGAGTGGCTAAATCCTTCACTTGGGGCTAGAGATAGCCCCTAGGCTTGCTTCCTAAATCTAGCTTTTTGTATATTTTTGGGAATTTTAGTTATAATAAATGTTTCGATATAGATCTTGTGATTTTTACTTGATTTGCATGGATTAATGCTTTCAATTGATCATTTATTTCTATCCATATGTCTATGTATACTAGAATGAGTGTTCATGTGTTTTACTCTAGATTTAATGAAATTAATGCATGTCTATGTGTATAGATGTTGTTAATCTAGTGATGGTCAAAACATAGTGCTTAATTGAATACTTTTGTGGTTTATTTGATAGTTCACACTTGTTTCTTGATGAATTGTGCCACATCCTTAGTTTAATTAGCTTAATTTTCATGTCTCTAGCCTAGCTGTAGTGTAATTGCTTTAATTTCTTAGATAGGTGGACAATTCATTCTTGTTTCTTGATGTTCCATACTTATGAGTGCAAATAGTACATTTCTCTAGATTTTTGTGTGTGTTCTAATTGTGGTTTAATTGAATGGGTTATGATCTCATTTGATAGGTTGTGATATTCACTAGATTGACTAGACAATCTATGCTTATTTGTCATCCATGCTTAGTTTTTAATTAGTGACACACACATACATATTCTATAACTTAAATGTCCCCATTAATTTACAATTGCTAGTGTTTGGTGAAGTAAAGCTTAGTGGTGAACTCTAAGCCCCAAGACCTCTCTCTCATTTATTTTCCCTCTAATTTCTAGCTTGTTAATTGCATATTTTAATTAAACATTAGTTTAATCAAATCAAACCCCTCTTTTGATCATTCGACCTACTAATCCAGCAATTGATTCTAAAATACGACTCTTTTCCCTTAGGACGATCCCTAGTCACTCTTGCTATATTTTAGTTAGTAGTGGTAGTGGCATTCTATAAATTCAAACTTGGCCACACTACACACTTTCGTGCTTTGGTATCGACGGACACACCATAAAACTACCATAGTCCATAAGGTTCGACACCCTCTACGCAGCCCCATCCTGCAAATGATTCATACTATTGTGAGTGGTAAAATCACACACATCATATATCAGCTATGTTAATAATAAGGAGTTTGAAAAATTAAACAAATGGTTAATTTCACTTACACCCCCACAGATTTGGCCAAATATCACCTTAAAACACATGTCGAAAATAACTATCACTCACACTATAAACGTTTATTCCATTTTTCACTCACACCCTAAACGTTACTATTCAGTGGTGTTAGATCACTTTTTGCATGTAAAATGATACTATTACCCTTTTGACTTTGTGTTGACTTGCAAAAGATTGTTTCACATATAAAATTACTTAATTACCCCCATAGGACACCAAAATGCCCAAAAATTGATCCCCTCTCTCTTTCTCTTCTTCTTGTTCTCTCACTAGGTGGGTGTGTGTGTGTGTGTGTGTGTGTGTGTGTGTGTGTGTTTGTGTATGGTATACACACACACATGAAAAAAATAGCAAAAAGGGTAATATTGGCATAGTGCTAATTTCTTCTGATCATATCAATCAACTGTCCACAAGTCCAATGCTTTTTGGTTTTCAGTTTCGGCGATCTCCCTGCTGTTTTGTGGGTCTTTCAATGGTTTCTCTCTTTTATCCAGGTCTTGTATCTGGTGGGGCTCAGATTAACGATGTCCATGTGTGTGGCGGACTGGTGTTGTTTACGCTGATGGGGTTTCTCCATGGCTTTTGGAGCGTCGAAAATATTTCTAATGAGGGCTTCAAGATCTATACTTTTGATCCAGGTATTGGCGCCGCTTCGTTGGTGATCCGGCTTTTTGTCGTCTGTTTTCTTTTTATCGTTTTTGCACTCTGGGTTCGTCGTTGCTGGTTCGCTCTCTGTTCGCCTATGACGCAGACAATTGACGGTGGGGATGAAGACCGGCCGACTGGATCCCAACTGGTCGGTGGTTCTTATGTTTTGATTTTTGGATCATGTCTTCTGGCCGGCGACCACACTACTGGCCCTTCTGCGTCGCTCTTCCCCTTTGATCCAGGTATTGTATTCTTTGTTTCTTTTTTAGTTCTAATCTTCTCTGTATGTTGTGTTGGTGTCTGTCTCGCCTCGGCGGTGGATTGGGTTTTCTTGGGTCCATCAGTGGTTGGAGATGAGATCCACTGGTAGCATTGGTCTATAGGGCTTGGAGGCAACCCCGCCATCATCTCGACGGCATCAACAATTTAAGCCTTGACGAGGCCGTAGTCCATCAGCTTTGGTATTTACCGTTCTATTTTCTGTTTGTTTATGGCCATGATGCTATCACTATTGGGAGCCTTCTGAATAATTCCTTCAAGGAAACATATGCTCCCCACTAGATTTCTTTCAGCCATGCAATTACTTCTCAAATCCCTTTGTGGGATAATTATCGCTCATTGCAGTCTTGGTCGTTGGGGCTGCTGTATCGTTCTTACGGTGTTTTCCGATTAGGGAGGTCACCGATTATGGTGTTCTCATGGTGTTCGTCGGTGATGGTGGCTTCCTACTTCCTTTGGCGTATGGTTCACGCTAGGTGTGCAGAGGTGGGTCTTCGGTTTTCGATGGTACTGTACGGCGTCAGTTTGGGGCCTACTTGTTACCGAGTGTCATAATGGTGTGTGGGAGGGGTGCTTCTCTAGTATGTTTTTCAGATCCTTCTTTTTGGCTTCTAATGGTGATGTCAAATCCATGTATGGTCTGGTGGGGCAGTCATATGGGCCTAATGATCTGATAGCCCACAATTTAAACCCAATCTTGTTTTCTGCACCTCATCATACCTGTGTTGCACTGTGTATGTCACATTAGCTCAGTAATGTTTCTTGTTGGTTGTCTTATTTTTGTGGGTCTTGTGGTCCTTTGTTGTTGGGTTGTTGCGTTTGTTTTTGCTTTGATTGTGGTTTGTGTGTAGTTTCTTATGTTTCTTGTAGATGCCGTAAGACATTTCTATTGCTAGGACAAAAAAAAAAAAAATGTCCAATGCTTTTAAAGTAATAATACTTCATAGTTTTGTCATATAATCCTTTAAAACAGTATTAACAATTTCATGAACTATACAACAGATAAAAGAAAGAAAACAGACTTACATTTAATCTTTCATGATTTTCTGGTCTCGATTAATGATTATTGCGTGTTTTTATACCCACACACACACATATATATATATATAAGGAAAAAGGAAGACATATAATATATAATGAGGACAATGTTGTCCATTTAGATTGCTGATATTTGAAATAAAGAGTATTAAAAAATTTGAAGTAAAATTATCTTTTCCCATGCTTTTAAGGGTGTCATTGACGGAAAAATAAAATTAGATTTAGTGATAATAATTTTTAAAAGTTATTTTAATATGAAATTTGGCATCATTAAATAAATAATAAAATAAATTAACATAATAAAGTAAAATTTAAAGCAATAATAACTCAACTACAGGCAATCACCACCATAACGGACAAGGATCCTCTCCTGCGTAGGAGAGGATCATGTCCATAAATAAGAACCTCTGAACTTCCAATTTCTTCATCGACTGAACAGATAGAGATATTTGGAACAAACCCAACTGATTCTCATCGCCTTGGTTAGGTAACAAAGATTGATCTCTTTCTTTTTCATGTATTATGCATATAATTTTATATAGCGTCTTCAGGCATCTCCATGTTTGTTGATAACCCAATTCAATCTGATTAATTTCATAAGAACCCTTTTGAAAATTTGTTTCTCTGTAGAGAGAGTTCTTTTTTTGGTTTCCCTTTTGTCCTACATCACATAATTTTGTATAGATCGTGCCTTCAAACAAACTTACTGGTAATTCCTTGCAATGTTCATTATTTGTACGCTATACATTATGGTTTAAAGATGTTTCTATACGCACAAATTGAAAATTTCATAAATATGATTTTTTCCCTAAATTATATATATGATTTTATTTTATTTTATTAATTCATTTTTTATTTTTATTTTTTGGGATTGCTACAATGAATCCTTCAAACCAGATTCTTCAAAAGGTTTGTCCTGAGCTCTCAGCATGTCTGTAGAAGAGGAAGAAAATGCCGCGGAGCTGAAAATTGGAGATGGTAATCATTTTCTTTTGTGATGGATACATGCCATTCTTCCATGATGTTTCGTATTTTGGGCTTAAGTTTTGGTCTCTTTCCCATAATTATGGTCCACTGTATGATTTGGTAACAGTTGATATGTTTTGTGTTTTGATGCATATAGTTTGTGTATTAGTATAAAAAGGTATAGGAAAACTTACATTGGATGGAGAGTTGTGTAGAATGAAATGCTTACTATATGATGAGAAAGTTATTTATATGAGTTGTTCTGTTAGTTTATGTCATTTTGGCATAATAACTATTTATCCATTTGTACTCCTGTTCATCGAGTCTATATTTTCTTATACAACTAGTCAAAAGATCTCTTCACCCAAGTTATGTTTGAGACTATGAAGTTAGGCTACTGGTATGCTGGGTGGCTAATTTGACTTTTGATACTGATTTTGTTTTATCATTGCAATTCTAAGAAGAACTTCGTGAAATTTGTAACCCAGTATATAATGGTGCTAGGATTTATGGCTTGGGTATGAGAGAACACTGAAAGCCGAACTCGATCTATCTTTTTGTATAGCCCTTCTCTATGAGTTTAGGCAACATGTGCTATGGGCGGGTACGCAGCACTTGAGAGCATTAGCCAAACTGCTAGCATGCTGATATTGCTTGAGAAACTATTGCCCTGCATTATAAAGATTTCGCCATCCCGCCATTTCGGATTAGACTTTAGATTAGGTTCAAAGAAAAGGGAAAGGGAAGTACGGACTGTTTGTCCTTCGGATGGTGAAATGTATTTGCTGATCTTCCGTGGACGACTACCTATAAGCCGAACTGCCTCAATCCTTTTGTTTTGTGTGGTGGATGGTTTTATGTTTTCTGTCGATTTGTGATTGTGTTCTTGATTTTGTGTTGTTTGTCGTAACAAATTCTTTGTAGAACTTTGACTCTTGTTGCTGCTTTCAATTGCTATGATGAAATCCAGCATAAAAGAACCTCTTAAGAACCCTAATGAGCCCTTTATATGTTTTTATTTTTTATTTTTTTTAATGCAGTTAACATATTTATATCAGACAAGTTTAAAATCAGGGATTTTTCTCAAACCCTCTCCTTATGTTATACGTAAATATATCCATATGTATATATATATGTATATATATATATATATATATATATATATATATATATATATTTGTGTTGGACACTTCAGCGTTTCAAGGATTGACTCAACTTTTATGCTAAATTGAATAATTATTAGAAGCTTATGGCTTTATCCCAGAGCAAGTTGGAAGTAGAAAGCAAGTTAGTAGTATCTCAATCCGAAATCTTGATTGCTATCACCCGCAACTATACTGGGTCATTCTAGATATAGTGGTTCTTTTAGAGGCTAGAAATTGTTTGGGCTTCCCGTTAGTCTTTTAGGAAAGAATTGGATTTATTTGTTATGCCAAGAAATGGTCTGACCAAGCACCATTTTGTAGTCAAATTAGGCTAGTCTATGTTTGTATACTTCTTTGAGCTGCCAAATCATCTGTGATGGGGTCAAAAGCCTTGATATATTGACGTTCTAATGGAACAAAAATGGAATTTCTTGGAAGTTTGAGTGGAATCAATGGCCAACTCTCTGTTATTCTTAATGAAAGTCATTCTGGCATGGGTTTTTGGATATGCTTAAGTTCAGTCAAGCTTGTCTGGTCAAAACAGGCATGCTTCACCTGTGAAATCCTAAATCTCTTGTTAGTAGAAATTGTTTGAACTAAATATTGCCATTCTACTATTCTTTTAGGTGCAGTCCCACTCCATCAGGCAGTTGGACCCTGAGTTGTGTATGGTTGTGACTTGTATTATTGGATTTTGAGATGTGTTGTTGAGTGGGGTTCAAAAGCACTTGTCAGGGAGACGTATTAATTGCGATTCACCAACCTTCAGACTTGGCAGGTCTCCTGGTAACATGAGAGTTTATAATCTTTATATTCTGCGAGTCGCATACATGGAAGGAGAATTTGGAAGGTTTTGATTTCTTAGATCCCATAAATGATCCCTCTCCGTTCTCCTGTCAATGCATGAGTTCAAGCTCATGTCTTGTGGAATTTTGCCAATTCATTTGAGTAATTGTGAATTTTGCACATGCTATTACCATTTACCACTTTATTGTAGATATGCTGTATATGTAGATTTTAGTGTATTTGCAATTTTTCCAATTAAATTGAACTTTGCATATAGAAAATTTACATCACTCACAGACTCACACTATTCCTAGTGCTTAAACAAAGAAAAACTGTGTGGTGTGTAATTATATTTCTATCAAGCAATACTGTTGAATAATTTAGTGTCTACTAGTACTTTCTTCATGCGGTTTGATGCCGATTATCAGGTTTTGGGAGTTCGTCCGAAACCAGCATCCCTCAGTAAGGGCTATGGAGATTGCTTGTGGATATTTTTGCAACTCCATCCATAATTTGGACTTCTAGGAATAAGCTGATTGCGAAGGACTCCGTATTAAAACTCAGATTGTTATCAGTAAAGCTTAGAAGCAATTGGTTTATTTTGTACAGCCTCCTAGCTTCCCAATATCAATATATCGTCTGCTTCCTTTGAAGCTAGTTGGGGCCATTGCTTGGTGCAATGGGGGGAAAAAAATCCTGCAGACTCCTTTGACCCTTCAATAGACATACATATTGGAAGTTGACTCTAACTAAAAATTTGTAAAAGAAAAAGATAATTAGTATATTGCTACATTTTTTTATTTTTTTTAATTTCTTATTTATTATTATTATTTTTAACAGAACTTGGATAATATCTATCAATGGCAAGGACTTGTTTTCTTAGTTGAAGCTATCGATCAACTTGCTAGTTGCTGGTGCTTGAATAGTCGTACCATTTTTGCAGCGTTTTCTCTTCAAATGGAAGCTTAAGCTTTTTGTTGCCTTTTCTTCTTTTCATGGTCAAGGCACTAAGTAGTTGAAGTGCCTACATCCGACTTGCAACTTAAAATTGGTTTAGAAAGGAAGGTAAGTACTGTTCTCAGGGGCTTATTTGTTATTACTTATATAATGTTGGGCGCTTATGTGTAATTTCTGAAACTTGTTAGTATATATACAATGTGGTGGAAGGATGGTAGTATTCTTTCATTCTTTCTCTCTTTTTCTCTCCTCCTCTTCCTTCTCTTCTTCATCTTCTTCTACTTTATTGCTGTTTTGGTTATCTCTTAAAGACAACAAGTACCATAATTGCTATAGCTCCAATTTTTATCGGTGTAAGATGTATAGATTATATAGTGCCCTAGGTAGTTTATTCAAGAATAAATGAAGGTTCTCTGCATTAACTTGCTATATTGGTCCTTTTCACTTTGGTAATTTGTTTCTCTGCCTTAATAGTTAATAGCAAAGTTCTTTTAACAAACCTGGTCAACGTTAAGAAATGCTTATGTAAGCAAATAAGATGTTTAGAATACCATTTTTGTCCTTCAAATGTGTGAAAACTCAATATAGTCCTCATTGATTAAACTTAAATGGCATTATTACCCTTATTGTTGATATGTAATCGAAGGCATTGAGGTGGCTGGCGAGCACGCTGGGAAAATTCCTTTGCATATTATTTAAATGGAAATGAGGATAAGATTTGGGGTGTGAAGAGCACTTGGGGTTTTAAACTAAAGCTTGCGGATGTCATTAGCAAGTTCACGGTCATTCAGGTTCAAAATGAGAGATCACTCAGCTTCATCTCTCTCTCTCTCTCTCTCCCTTCTCAATTTGCGCTCTCTCCCTCTATCATTCTACCGTACTACACTGAACATATATGTATATAGGTCATTATATATATCTGAATATACAAAATATATATTTGTATTTAATTTCTGTTTAGTTTCAAATTGGGAATATAGGTTTGATGCTGTCTGCTGTTGTCGTTATTCTTGTTCTTGCTCTTGTTGTTCTCAGCCTTGGATTTTGCTGCTAGTGTTTGGGTTTTGTTTTTTTGATCATTTGATTGACAATCTATGGATTTGACACACTTACGACTTAATTTTTCTCTAGGGCTTCTCTCACACATCTACTCCCTACAGAGAGAGAGAAAGAGAGAGAGGGAGAGAGAGAGAGAGGTTGCAGAGTTCAGGATTCTGGGCGAGTCAATTTGCTTGGAGAGGGAAAGAGACTAAGTCCTCGTCTTTGTCATGTTAGAAATGAATTTCATATGGAGGGCATTCATGTCTTTTCACAATTTCTGTTAACATCATTTGACGACAAGGCTTGACAGGATGCCAACGTAATTCTGAATACATAGGGGTTGTCTCTGTATTTTCACTTAATTAGAGGGGAGGTTAGTTTAACTTACCCTCACTTTTTCTAACAAGAACTTCAGAAATTTATCTCTGCTTGGTAACACAAGTGAAGTTAAAGCACTCACAGCATAAAACTGATACAAAATGTAACTTTTTATTTAAAAATTGAGAATTTGTTTGATAATATTTCGTTTTCATCATATTGATTAACATATTGCTCAATTGTTGAGACAATAAGTTGTGTATTAGGTGTTTGTCAATGTAATGAATTAGATTTGAGTTTGTTTAGAGGTGCATGATCTCCGTTCCGTTGTTATACATAACAAGTTTTGCCAAGAGGTGCCATTAAATTTTTCTCATTGATGGATTGGTTTGTCTTCTCAGAATTTTTGAAGGCTAAATGTTTAATGAATTGTGAAGTTGCCTTAATTCTTGAACACAAGTATGAGCAGCTTCAGCAGAGGTCTGAGGATCCAATGAATCAAGTTTCTCAGTGAGTATTAGACTGTTTCCCTCCATTTCTCATTCTTTCAATTTACGATTTAAGTGTATATACGGTTTTGCTATTGATGCTGTTGCTAACTATTCGACATATTACCATACAAAAGTCGTGAGGTTAACTTTTTAGCCCTTATCACCATTTATGTTATTTATAAGTATCAATTATGTTGCTAAAACTGATCCATCACTTATTGTCTCACCAGTTAAGTGCTTAACAGAAGTTTTTTCAGTATTAAAGGGCTTAACAGAAGTTGGTGAAACTTCTTTTTCCAAACCATTTTGGCAAGCAGTATGTCTCTGTGGAGATGGATAGCTTGATTTAGCGTCCTTGCGTAGTTATTGAGGTATTATGAAAACACTGGAAAGGCTTTTCTTCCTTGCCTTGCATAACAATTATTAGCATCTCTATCCACTGGGAGAAGTAGTTGCACAGTAGTTAGATTTTGCCTAGGTATCTTGCTTTATTATCAATTTAAGACAATTCAGGTTTTTCAAATTTTATCTTTTAAACTTGTAAATGATTTTTACAGTATCTTAGCAATGAGATTGATTTTGAGTTTTATACAATTTCCTGTACTGTTTCAGTTGCCTGTTTTCTCTATCTTCCACTCTAAATTTTTATTGATAACATGATGAACAGATTAAAATTTAGAATTAAATAAATAAATTTAACTAATTGCTGCTAGATCAATTTCTATTTCTTTAAATATTTCATATTAATTCGACATGGATCGGGTGCTGCATTTTGAATGGATTAATAAGGGGGAACTGATGAATAATTTTGATTTTCCTCAGTGAGTGCATTTCAGTGCTAATCTTTTTTGGGAATAAGGTTCATATTCAACTGAGTTGTTTGCAATAGAATTTGTGAGATGTCAATTTATAGCTAAACTTCTTATTAATTAATTTCATTTATGAGCAATTGCGCAAGATAACTTCTAGATTTGAATCTTTTCTATTTTTTGTTTTTTGTTTTTTTGTTTTTGTTTTTTTTTTTTTTTTTTTTTTTTTCTTGTTTTGGTTGGGGGTCTATTTATTATAACGATAACTTAGGTCTCTCTCTTTTGAGCTACTATGCAAGATTATTTGTACAATGCAATTATAATGTAAAATGTAAATTCTAGAGAAAGGAGTCGTATTGTCTGCTACTCCGAGCAAGATAAAAGAAAAATGTGGAAGATGAGGTTTCATAAATTAACAGGAAGGCATTTTCTGCAGTGCATGTTTTTCTCATTTTCTTAAATTCTTTGGCACCAACTCCAGATTTTTGAATCTGAGCCATCCAGATCACCAATCAGCACAAGAAAGTTTGTATTTGTACAAGTTCAAATTATTAGTCCTTTAAGCAGGAATTTTTTGGTTATCCTTCCTTCTTTTTTTAGAGTATTTGAGAAGGCACTGCAGTATGTGAAGCGCTTTAGCCGCTATAAAAATCCTGATGCCGTTAGGCAAGTTCGAGAGTATCCTTCAATTAAATTAAAATAATGTAATATTGTTTCTGTATCTGTTTGTTCATGCACATTTGGATGATCACCAACATTTTTTTATTGTTTATGCTTCTTATTAAAGATTGTTTAATTCTAGTGTTGTAAACTTTCAACACTTTAAATGTGATAGTAAATAAAATCTGTTATATCTTTTATCAGCAGCAGTTTTTACTTAACCCACATTCAGAATTCTTAGTAGATACCAGTTGGCTGAATTTGAGGTAACATATCCAATCACTTTATTAGTTAAAACCTGGAGTTTATATATTTAATTATAAATGTTGGCTTAATCCTTGTGTTGTGCAGCTTTGTGTCCTTGGAAACCTTTGCCCTGAAACTGTGGAGGAAGCTATCGCAATGGTCCCGTCTATCAAGGTATTTTTGATTCAACGATAGCTATTTCTTTCTCTTAGCAAGTACTCTTGTTACTTTATTCATGGTTTTATTGGAATAGCCATGTTATGATTTAGAAATAGCATAACATGGTACACACTACAGTTCATTTCTTTCCCCTAGATGACATGGTACTCACATGCGTGGCAAGCAGTCAAGTGCGAAAAAAGAAAATTTCCTATAATTATAACATGCCATGGATTTCATATGACTTGAATGCACTAGATTTGTGCTAGGAGGGCCACCTTTTACGAGAAACTTTGGAGCATGGACAGTTGGAGATGGGTAGGAGATGTAGATACAAACACGACATGGACACGTCGACACAACAAATGTCAAAAGAGTGGAATATGGGCATGACAAGGAAAAAGTAACAAAGAACTACTTTTTGTAACATTACGATAAACGACATTACTCACAAGTAAATATAATATTTAATAACTGTAATTTTTGCTAGCCTTGCATCAAGGGACACCATTAAGTCCATATCTTTATGCCTTAGTTATGAATGCACTAACAAGACACATTTAAAATGACATTCCATGGTGAATGTTATTTGCGGATGATATTCATTTAATTGATGAAACTAGAGGAGTAAGTGCTAAATTGGAGGCTTGAAGGGAAGCTCTAGAACTAAAAGGATTAGGACAAGTAGGAATAAACTGAATATATGGACTGTAATTTTAGTAAATCTAAAAATACAAATAGACAGTTCCACTATATAAGCTCAATTTTTTACAATGAAGGAGAAATTGGAGATAATTTTAATCACAAACCCAAGCAGGATGGGTTAAATAGGAGCGCATCTAGTATATTGAGTGATCGACATATCTCTCTAAGATTGAAAGTGGAGTTCTATAGAATAACTATTAGACAACCACAGTTTATGCGCAAATGTTGGGTTGCCTAAGAAAGAAAATATGCATAAAGTGAGTGTGGCGGAAATGCAAATATTGAGATAGCCGTGTGGCAGTACAAGAAATGATAGAAATGAAAACATCTGTGAGATGGTTGTAGTAGCACTTATTGGGGATAAAATAAGAGAAATCAATTAAGATGGTTTGACATGTGCAAAGAAGACCACTAAGTGAACCAGTTAGGAAGAACGACATGATCCATATTGATGGGTAATGCTAGGGGGAGGGGAAGACCAAAATTAATATGAGTAGGTTTGGTAAGGAAAGGTATGGTAACATGCTGTTTGACTGAGGTTATTTATGGCTTAGATAGAGCATAATGAAAAACAGGATTCATAGCCGGTCCCAAATAGGTGAAAAAGGCTTTATTGGGTTGGGTTGAGTGTTAATTTTGTAACCTATGAATCATAAAAATCAATGATCTGTATGGTGCTTTGACAAAGTGGTAGTAAGAATACAACATGGGTGTATGTGGATAACTATATGTACTAACACAATTATGATGACTTCTTTGTTAATTCTATTTCTGCTTCTTCTTTCTTCTGTTTTTCTTTTTTTTTTTTTTTAAAAATGACTGGAAAATTTCTATAATTTATATAAAATTTTAGTTTATTTTTCCTTGGAAGTATACTTGTTTCTATACTAAAAGAAAGTATTTAACACTCAAGATTCATCAATCACATGTTGGTAAGTGTCAGGATTCAAGAGGTGTTAGCCATTTATTGAAAATTTAATATTTTATTTTGAAATTCACACAAAAGTTGTTGACACGTCCAGGAGTGACCAAAAACGTATCGGCGTCCAACATATGTCCAACATGGACAGAGGTTGTCATTAAAAGTATTATAGACTAAAAGAAAGGCTGTTTGAAGAAATTTATTAATTGATATTTAGTAGAGTTCCAGAGCATGATATACCTATCTATTGCTGGTTTGCATAGTAAAATTATCAAGCCAAACCTACTGGAAAAAATAATATAAAATAATCTAACCAATTTAAGTCATCGTCGTCATTATCATTATCATTGACTTTATCCCATATGAATGGGGACGGCCACATGAATTCTCTTTTTCCACTCTTTTCTATTACAAGCCATCTAACCAATTTAAGTTACCAGTGTAAAACCTTCATCTACGTGTTCTCTTTTTCTTCTACAGGCACCTTATGATGAAGGTATGACTAATTGATGTATAATTAATTTATTATTATTCTTATTAAACTACTTGCATAGACTTCAAGTTGCATTTTGTTTCTCAAACACCGTAACCCTTTTAACCGTTATTAAAATGCAAACTGCCATTTTTAACAATCCACGAGGTAGGGAAGGTTTTTTGATGTTACTGGGATTGTTTGTCGGTTGAATATTTACTTTGTACCAAATCTCAAAACATGATTTCCCAACCTAAATCAGTTAGTCAAAATATATTATTTATTTATTTCCAAGTAATTAGCTTGAAAATATTATGTTGTGTAGAATTTGTTGTAATGATGATATGTCATCACAGTGTTCCACATGCTAACATTGTGCTTGCCTTAAGGTTTAACAGGTGTTCAATATCAGGTACAGTATTAAATATAACAATAGTAATGTATCACATATTTTTTAGGTCAATTAATCAAATAGGATTTTGGTTGACAAATATCATGTCCAAGACTTGAGTCTAATTTTGTTTTTTATTTTAGTTAGAATTTTGAATGGTAGCGTTGGTTAGTGATCTCTTGTTCAGGAATTAACCCTACATTCAAGGGGGAAAAGGTAATTTTCAAGCACGAGGTTTAAAGTTAAAATTGACAATAAAATATGCACTCATCAGTCGGGGTTCATGACTTCATGCATTCATCAATGAGGGTTTCATATATTTCATGATTTGATTCTTTAAAATCCTTTTTGATGGGGCATCTTTGTTTTTGGAAACTTTCTAATTTGAAAAACCTAAGTAAAGGAGTGCAAGTTTCTTCGATCAATCAGAGGATCTGTCGAAGCCCATTATAAGTCATAGGTTTGCAAACTCGTTTTGAGTTTAGATTCTCTCTTAAAACCTTAAATTTTTTCGAACTCTATACTCTAAATATGGACCTCCAGTAATCAGAAACCTGGGAGCATCTATCATATATTCTTTCTCGCATATAAAATGCTTACGGAGTGCATTATAGCAAAACTCTGTTAGAATTTTGCATGTTTTTCATTCATCAGTCATAAAAACTGTATGTTATTGGTAAAATTTCTTATTTCCTATCCGATCAAGATTTAAAAAAAAATTAAGAATCCTTAATGTTGATGATGATAGTAAAAACTATTTGTATGGAGTTTGTGGTTTCAAATAAGTCACAAAATTCGCCAGACCAATTGTAGCACAAAATTTACCGATGATTTGGTTTCCAAATTTGCAAAAACAAAAAAAAAAAAAACAAAAAAAAGAGACAAAGTGCTTAGACACATGCTATGTTCGGTCGTATGGAATTGGTGTCTTGGAATTGAAATTGGAGAAAATTTAGTTCAATGTAGCAATTTGGACTCTATTTGTAGGAGTAATGCCAAGCAGCTTTTATGAGACTGTTAAGCAGCTTCCTTTTCGTGGGCATCCGAACAATATAGGGACCCTCCCTCTCCCCCTAACATCACAATGCATTAGGGAAAGAAGGGAGCTCGAAAAATGCTTTGGAGATGGAATTACAATGCCTTTTCCTTTCCACCCTTGGTTCTTCCCATGATCCAACTGAAGCCTTAATAATTCATTTTCCTTTCCACCCTTGGCACTGAAAGCAGCCATATGTACTTGTTCTTCTGCCTTCTGTATCTCATTTCTTATGATTAATTTCTATTGATGGAGCCTTTGTTTTGCAGAGCAAAGGACGTGCCCATGAAGACGAGGCGATTGAGAAAATGTTGAATGATCTGTCTCTGATTAAGAAATTCGAGTAGCAGCACCATTTTCTGCCCAATCTATGTGAATCCTGCAGTATAGAATTATATGTTGTTTCACAGAAATTATGATCCCTTTTGGCGTCTTAACATAGCAGCTACTACAGTGATGGGTGTTTGATTTAATCTGGCTACTTTTAATGGATCAATAAGGTCTTTTTTTAATTTCCCGGGTACCGTACTCTGGGGCCTCTCAGCTGTTATCTAACAGTGGGGTTCACCACTACATTCAACGGCTGGGAACCTCCGGAGTGTGGTACTCCTGCATATTGTAAACTTTGGTTGACTGATCATTTGGTGGATTCTTTATATGTTGGGATGAATTGATCAATTGATTTGAATTAACAATTTGATTTGGAATACCATTTGAAACAGTTTTGCGACCAGCTAAAATTTGGGATTTGAATATGTCTGAGAAATTATTAGAAAGTAATTCTTAAATCAAATAATTATCACTCTAAATAAAAATAATATTCAATAAAGCAATTAAATAATTATTTCCTCAAAATAGTAATTAAAATTTATTTTTTAAAATATATAGTTACACTGATATATTAATCAACATAAACTGATTCCAAGATTTAATAATGATAACAATTTATAAAATTCTTATAATAATAAATTAGAAAATTATTTTATAAAACATAATTAGTAAAATTTTAAAATGATCAATGAACATAAAATTGACACAAGGTAAATTGATCAAAATAATTGAATTTTTCAATAGAAATTTAATTATTGATGTGTGTATTTTCAATTTCCTAAAACAATCTCAAAATCACGACTACGTTTTTTCTATTACAACTTGTAATTTAATTTAATTTATTTTTTTCAATTCAATACAAATTCTATATAGTCAATTTCATTTGCTATTTAATTAAAGGTCATATAGTGAAAGGAAATATTTGCTATAGGCAATTTATCCTAGAAGCTTCACAAAAACAGGGTGATCAATTACCACATCCAATAGTAAATCAATAATTATTAAAATAATGCTCCCAAATAATAAACAGACAAGAATGCCACAACCATCCGAAGCTTTTGGAAACTTTCTTTAATTAACTTGTAATGGAAGGGATTAAGTGAACAATACCATAAAATTTAAGAAATAATTAAAGAGATTAATTCCCTTGAATGTTGAGATTAAAATTAGAGAAAATGTAATTGTATATTATTATATTAGTGGGAAGAGATAGAAATAGAATAAAAGTACAGGAAAGGTAAGTTTATATTATTATTAAAAATGCATTATAAAGGAAAAAAAATGTACTGAACGTGTTGAAAATTAAAAAGAGAATACAATAGAGTAAATAAATAAAGCAGTGAAACTATTAATAAACCTAAAGAAATTATTATTTTAATGGGAAGAGTTAAAAATATAATAGATTTAGATAAAAGTTGGTAGTAGAATTGAATAGAAAAGGTAAATTTATATTATTAAAATGAATTTATAACTATCCTACCAACATGTCTATCTGAAATTCCTTTTCTATATTTTTCTAATTAAAGATGTAAATTAAAATTAATATATTTACTAAAAAGACAAATAAAAATAATATTTTATAGTCATGTACACAAATATCAAAATGAATATCTTATATTAGTTTGGCATTTTTAGTTTCACTTGTATTTCACTCTACTAGTAAAAATCACGTGTGATGCACGTAAACAAAAGTTGTTTTATAATTTTAATTAAAAATTATAGAGAATTATCAAAATAAATTTTATTTTTAAATAATTAATTAGCAACTTGTTTGAGTAATTACAATTTTAAGGAGTTACAAAATTTTACTTAAATAATTATTAATTATATAAATACTAATTTTAGATCAATATTAAAATTCATAATTTTAAACCATTAGACATAATAACAACATAAACTAGTAAAACATAAAGGCTCTATTTGTTTCGACGTAAAATATTATTTTTAGAAAATGTTTTTCTTTTTTAGGTAAAATATTCTTTTATTTTTACTTGCTGGTGTTTGGTAAAGATCTATGTCAAGGTTGAGGTCGAGTCCATCGGGCGGGGCATGTAGAATAATTTGCTGAAAATTTATAGATAAATTATTTTTGTTAAATTTTAATACATTTTTTCTTCGTAAATATTTTACGATAACCAAACACCAGAAAATAAAAAAAAAAATATTAGTAAAACTTATTAAGTAACTAAGTGTATAAATAGTTCTAACTATTTTTTTGACTTCAGGTGTGAAGCTTTAATAGATTTTTATTTTTATTTTTATTTTTATTTTTATTTTTTGCTTTGACAAAGTAGTTCTAGCGGACTTTTTATCACAATATAAGAATGGAGTGATATTAGTGATGATAATTTAAACCCATTATTTGTGAATGTTGAATCGTGAATAGCTGACAAATTGGAATATGAGACAAATATTGTGAAAAATCACAAGTATAATTGAACTTTGATTCCGACATATAAAATGTAAAGTAGGATAATATGATTCCTTTCTTTGGTTAGCAGAGAATTCGATTTCAAATATAATTATTGATTAAAATTTTCATATAAATTACAAATAAATCAAATTAAAAAAAAAATAAAAGTTACGACACAAAAAATTTGAAGAATATTGAAAAGAAATATATTGATTTTAGTGAACTATATTTTATTTGGAGAGAGATTAAACTTTTAACAATAGAAAATAACATTACATTTTGGATTAAATTAAGTAAAATAGTAAAGTACGTTTATAGTAATTTCTTGGTGAACGGAAAAATCAATGAAAAAAGAAAATTTGAGAGATACCTAATATTTGAGATTGATCACTACAAGAAAAACAGTTTTTTACCACGGTGGAAAATGCTTTCTACCATGGTGGAAACGACCGTGGTAGTAAGTAGAGACTTTCTATCACAATGCAAAACCGTAATAGAAAAAAGACTTTCTACTACGGTGCAGAACCGTAGTAGAAAATGTCTTTCTACCACGGTTTGAGAGGAATGCAAGAGCATTCAGGAACAAAGCAGCCTCAGCTATTCACATCATCCACCTAATCAAGGGTTGCATCAGAGCAAGGTTTTCATTCCTTAAACTAAGGTCTGGTTAATAAATTAGGAAGATTGGATCTCCTGAAGCTCTCCATCAGTTATTTCTTCAAGGTTGTTCGTATGCAAATGGTCAGTCCTGATTCTTAATTGATTAGATGGTATTATGCTGATATATGATTGCTGAGAATAAGAGATATTGAAAGCAGATTTGAAATTGCTAGGTGGATCAATTTACACTTGAAAAGCAGTTGTGGTGTATTAGAAAATGCATAGGTGCTGTATCATGTTTTGCTATCTCCTTTGGTGATCCTGTGGCAACATTTGTTGTCATAGCCCTTGACTTGTAATGTTCTCAATGGACCTATTGTACATTTTTCTTTTATTTATCAAAGTTTACCATTTTAGCTATAAAAAAAAAAAAAAAAACCGTGGTAGAACATGTTATATAATTTTTTTTTAAAAATAGTGTAGCCCCTACGAGGCCTTTTTTTCCCTACTACTAGCCTTGCAAAGATCCCAGAAGCAAACCCTAAATAAATAAAAAATAGCTTCATAACCAAAATAACTTCTCGCCAATAACATCATATATATATATATATATATAAAACGAATTCTAAATCATGATTTTATACAAAAATTAACCATATACAAATTTCAAAGAAGTAGATGATCCACACCTTATATCTTTACTTAACCAAATTAAAACAAAAATTCTTCGTATCTTCTTACTCTGTTTTAGTCTCTCTCTTCCATATATGTAACTTCTTCATGAGCCATACAAAAAATATAGCGGCCAAGGAACCTTCAGATGTAGGAGATCATATCCTAATTGCACTTAATATACCAGACTTGTCAAATTCATCAGATCATAAAAGCATTAGCATATTCATATGATTACCTAGAACAAGAAGAGAACAATGATGTCTACAAATCTTTGTTCATCGGTTAAACCAATTTTAACTATGTAAACTAGCTTTCTAGATTCCAATTAGATAATCCAACTAATCCTACCCTCAACATGTCAACAACCACTTCCCAATGTAAAGAAAACACACACCCTTAAAAAAATCACACACCCTTTTCCTTACACCATAAGTACATGTTTTGAAAGAACTGATTAATGGTATATATCTAAAGATGTTAGTATCATGAGTATTTTTAGCCTATAGTAGAATAAAAAAACGAGATAACATAGGAAATGATCCAAGATGACTATACTCGAAAATATGGTTCGACCTTCCCCTTGTATTATGCTGCAGAAAGTAAAGTATAAATAATTTGCAATATGAAAAACACACAGCACCAATATAATAGCCATTATAAAGAAGCCTTAATGCTGTAGACAGTGAGATACAAATAAGTTACAGCATCAGGAATCATGTAGCACCTAAATAATATATTATTCGATCAAACTTGATGGTCCTGAGTACATAAATGATATGACATATTGGTGGAAGGAATTCTCTTGTTTAAGAAGAGGTTATCTTTAAGTAGAATTTGGGTTAAATTAATAGTTAAAAAAAAAAAGAATAAATATTAGTTATCTTATTTAATTCATTTAGAAATTATAATAGATGAAGAAATAGGTTGTTAGAAAAGTAAATCGTATTAGAGAAGAAAATTGGTAGGAAACGAAGAAAATTAGTAAGAAACTTCTAGAGAAGGAAATTAGAAGTTTCGGTTGAAGGATTCTCTTGTTTAAGAGTTAAAAACTCATTATAATTAGGTATCTTTGTTCAGTAATGGTATATATTTATTTTAATTAGACTTTGCTTATTGATAATTTATTTAAATTATTTTAGTAAATTAATTATAAATTAGTGATTTGAAATTCTCTAACCCCCTTATACTTTTAATAATAGTCTATATATATATCAAACTCTCTAGATATTTTTTTTTTTACTATGCAAATATATAATAAAATAATATAATTAGAATCCTAACCTAATCCTTCTATCTCTTTTACATAATAGAAACTCTTTATTCTCTATTTATTTTATTATTATTATTATTATTAGTTTTTGTGAAATCTTATTCTAAACGTTTCTCTCTTTTATGTGATATAAATCATTTCTTTTTAATTTTTCTTTCTTTTATATATATCTACGGAACTCTCCAAGTTTTTTTTATTTTATTTTATAAATACTATGCAACTTTATAATAAAATAATATAATTAGAATCCTACTCTAACCCTTCTATCTCTTTTATGTCATAGAAACTCTTTATTATTTATTATTTAATTTTATGTATAAATTGGTTATGTATTAAATTATGGATATAATTTATAAAATATCCTATTAAACTTTTTAATAGGAATTCAATTATTAAACTTTTTATATATTTCTTTGTCTAATTAGATAAACTA